GGTTGTAAATTCTAGGTTATATGCCTTCAGGTATTTGGAGAACCTTAATATATCCTTCTTCAGTCTTCTCTTCTAGAGGGTAAACACACCCAGTTCCTTCAACTATTCATTACAGGACTTCGTTTTTAGCCCTGCGATCATCCTCACTGCTCATCTCTTTCAATTTGCCTAAATTCTTCTTAAAGCATGCTCTGACCAAAAGACAAGGTTCAAAACAGAACAGGGTAAAGGTTTTATTTCTTGTTATTTGGAAGCTACTGGTGACACCTACAATTAATTTTTCCTTTTTTTAAAGCCACTGTTGATTCATATTCAGCCTGTAACCAAGTAGAACTCCAAGATCCTTTCCATGCCTGATATTGCCAGGCCAGGTATCTCTCATCTTATATCTGTGCATTTGATTTTTTTCCCACTAACAAAATTACTAAATACACAATTGCTGGTGATGCCAGATGATAGCCAGTTGATAGGTAAGATTTATTAGTTTATGAAAATCATTCCCAATAAACCAACTGTGTGAGAAATAAGTTTTGGCTGCCAAGAGCACTGTTGCTAGAAGTTCTACTTCTCCATGCTTCCAGTGATACATGTTTTAGTATGCTCCAGATGTTTTGTCCTCCAAATGTCATAAGCCATTGCTACTGGCTATACTAGTTAAGGCTAAGGGGAGGTGAAATCAAAATCATTTCAAAGGCATCTAGTTGCTTATCCTTCCCTAGCCAATGAAAAATAGGCAATTCCCTTGTCCAGTAACATATGCTAAGGAAGAACACCATGAAACTCTACAAAACAAAGAAAGAAAGCAGAAAATCCCCACCCCATCTAATTTATAGTCTAAATTCCAACAAATGGCAATAAGAGTAAGAATGATAAAACATGATACCTAGACGCTCTAAGGAATAGAAGGTTTGGGTGAAAAAAAAGGTAAGTTTAGTAGTCTCTTCATCTCTTGGACAAAAAAGAAAAAAGAAAAAGAAAGTGGTTTAGTGCAGCTATTCCAAGAGGAAATTTTAGGCATAAAGCTGCAGCATATATGGTTGAACGAGAGGCTTGCTTGGATTGGCAACAGATAATTTCTAGTATGTGCTGGATTTTTCTGACAATTCAGTATCCTGCTGATATTCTAGCTAAAAAGCTACAACAAAAGCATTCTTTTAATAACAATCTAGTGAATCTTGAGAAAATGCACTCTCTTGAAATCAGCCACAACTGAGGGGAGCGGCGGAGTCATAAACATATTTTCTGAGATTGTTACAAAATAACACTCAGCACTGAATGGGTTAATATTTCCAGCTGTTTTTTCAATTGCATAGCAAAGCAAAAATGAAATAACTTTAATTGCAACCTTGATATTCTGGCCCACAGTGTTGCCAAAGCAAATGTTATGCAAAGGTCAGCTTAGAAGAATCTGAGCATCTCAGCTAATCAGAGCCACACCAGCAATAGGAAGGGTTTTGCCACTCTGCAATTCAGTAAAGGAAAAGCTGACTTGGCTGATGGTGAAACTCCATAGAATTATTCTGTTCTTATAACACTACTTCTCTTAGTGTATGGCAATTTTGGGTTTCTGGTCTGCACTGCTATAAAACACGCAACAACTGATCAGGAATCACCACATCTGCTGCAAACCAGGTTAAGAAAACTGTACCTCACTCACACTAGTGGGCGCTTTCCACTATCAGTGAAAAGCTTCACAAACAATGAACTGCAAAAGAAGTTTCAGGGGCTGACTGCTGTTTTTCATTTCTGAGTCTCTTTCCTTGACTAAAGTCTGAAACCCTACTCTATTGCCCACCACTCTGAAATGATTTCATCATGTGGAAACCATGATAAATGAAAGCATTCAGGGGATTTTACAAAGCACATTGCACAACAATGGAAGAAAATGATGAAATTTCCATAGCAACAAACAATTTTGCAAACTGCACTCCAGTGATTAAGATGACTCAACATTTTGGAGTGGAAAAGTCTGTCAGCTGTAAAAGAAATAATCATCTGCATGTGTCCAGCAGTTCAGCTTCTCCTACGGACAATAATCTGTTCGCTGTTCTATTTACAGTCAAAGAAGGTGGTCTCAACATACTCAACAAGATTCACCCAATCTGAGTTCGTATGCCACCCTTGAAGAATGTAAGACAAAATGCTAATCAAACCACAATCTTTCTCTTCCTGTACTAAGATAAAGGCCTTTCCTGTGCAAAAGCATGGTATCTCATAATCTGAATAGTAATGATTTTGAACCACCTTGGATATATATTAAGGTAGAAGAGAAATATGTCTCTGTGTCTGTTTATTTCTTAACAAACCACCTGTTCCATACACTTCCTCGGGACACACCAGTATTTTGGTTTAATTATTTTTACTATAGGCTTCCGAGGGCTATTACTTATAATTAAACATCTATAGCATATAGCTAACACAATAAAGTACAGAATAAAAAAATCTAGTAACAGCCCTGTTTCTCAATTCACAAGACATCAGTATTTTTCTCATGGAAGATGAAGTAATCAGTGAAACAAATGATGAATTATGTATAACGTTACAGCATTTAGAGTTTTCACATGCTCTACAGGTGTTCTTCTTAAACTATCTTCTGGACAATATTAGTGTTCCCCAAATAACCTAGCCCTAAGATCCAACAGAATTTGGATCTTAGGGCCAGGTGTGTGTGAGTTTGGATGGGTTCAATTTCACCAGACAAACAAGTTATCTATCCTTGAATAAATAGCTCTTGGGAGATTCCACCTCAGATATGATCTTGAAACAACTGAAAAAAATATAAATCACTAGAAGACTTTTGGATGAAACATCACATAGAAGGTGAGCTTTTAAATGAAAAAAACATTGAAGGAAAATGGAAAAAAACCCAAACATTGAAGGACTACTACCTTTCCCGACAACATATCTTTTGCAAAAGTGGAATTTCAACAACACCTAGACCAATAATGGAAACAGACTGAATGTTTCCCTAACTGTACGATAATCTTTATGCCAACTCTAAGATACTCTTTAACAAACCTAACTCCAGACATTGAGGAAATATGCTATTATATGCAGATGTTTTTTATGCTCTGTTTTATTTTTAAAAATGTATACAGTATTTTTATGAGGAATACCAATGATCTATTTTATTTCAAAATACATCACAGGTATTCCTCATAAAAATATCATTTGCTATTTTGAGGTCTTAAAAAATTTAAGAAATATTGGTGTAATACATATTAAACTAAGATAGATTCTGTCCAGAGTTAGATACGTTGTTCTCCTTTTGCGACATTAGGAATAGGTAAATAACAAGGCACTGGAAATTGGTAAGAAAACATAGAGATTCACAAGTAAAAGAAAAATCTGATCAAGAGAAGATAACAGACTAATTTCTTATTCATATAAGTTTAAATAAATATACACTGATTTTGATTTTTTTAGTATAATTTTCATAAAGGAAGCTTATAAAGATACCATGTTTCATGTTGTGTGCGAGTTACGCCCCTTCCTGGATCAGGAGTCCCTTCGGTCTGTCACTCACGCCCTGGTCATCTCTTGTTTAGACTACTGCAATGTGATCTACACAGGGCTATCCTTGAAGAGTATCCAGAAGCTACAGCTGGTTCAAAATGCGGCCGCGCAGGCAATCTTGGGTACCCCAAGAATGGCACATGTAACACCTTTGCTGCAGGAGCTGCATTGGGTTCCAGTTTGTTTCCAGGTCCAATTCAAGGTGTTGATTATCACCTTTAAAGCCCTACATGGCATGGCTCCAGGTTACCTGAGAGACCATCTCACCCCTATTACTTTGACTCGTCCCACCCAGTCTGGTAGAGAAGGCATGTTGCGGATCCTGTCGGTAAGAGAATGTCGACTGGTGGGTCCTAGGAGGACAGCCTTCTTTGCCGTTGCCCCTGCCCTATGGAATACTCTCCCCCAGAGGTGTTGCGGGCCCCTACCCTCCCAATTTTTCAGAGGGAATTGAAGACTTGGCTCTGCCAACTTGCGTGGGGCAGGGAAAGATACAACTGACCCTGGGGATGGTTGGCGCCTTGACGACACTCCCTGAGTTTATTAACACCTAATTAACATCAGCCTCTTGGAAGTATCATAAAGGAAGTTTGTTTTTAGCATACTTTAATTAATTAATTAATATTTATCTATTTTAATTAATGTTTATTCTGTTTTTACGCCCAGAATTACTCTGTGGTGAGATGGGCAGTGACAAGTTTGAAATATAAATAAATAAATAAAAATGATGCTGAATGAACTTAAAGAAGTTGTTAAGGATGAATGTGAAAAGAGACTGTCAGAGATAAAGAAACAGAAGAAAGCAACCTGGATGTCAGAACAAACCACAGAAATTATCAAGAAGAGAAGTTAAAGCCAAGAAAGACAAAAATCTCAAGAAGGAACTTAACATTTCATTTTCTCAAGGGGTGAGCTCAGAATTGCTGAATAAACAGGCTGAAATGCCTCTTCTCTCTTGTTTTCTCTATGCATTTGCTTCTAGCCAGAAAAGTGCAATACATCAATATTCATTAATTATCTATTCCTTTATTACATTAACATTTCAACACTAGTTACAGGAAAAAGCTAGTGGATGCTTTTCAGAAGGTCAAGAATTGTTATCAATTTAATCAACATTTTAAATGGATTGTAAAAGCTTAGCAACTGTTGTTGGTTGAATAGTTTTTTTAAAAACATCTATTTTATTATTATATAACATTTTGACATCATTTTAATATTATACCTAACACTATACTTGCTTAGTAATAACCAGCCAACATATTCAGTAAACTAATTTACTGTCAGCATAAATTTTGTGTTCACCACTCTGAAATTCATTTTGGGGTAAATGGGCAAAATGGAACATTTTGAAATAAAAATGAATAAAAATAATAATCCATGCTTTGTACTGAATACATTGAGAGAATGGTCTAGAAAATACATGCTAGCAAGAATGAATATTTACTGAAGTGATGCCCACTTGTAAATTATTTGTGCCAACTTACCTTGTTTTGATTAGCTGGAGATAAACTTCTAAAGAGTTTTCTGCCCTGTTTGCCAGCATTCCAAATGGTAAAGGATGTCCAGTGACTGAGAATTCTCTCCTCTAGAAACAAGACACGGTGAGTCCAGATGGTTCTCCTGAGAAGTTGTACAACACAAGCAAAAGAACAAGATTCAATATCATTTAGACACAGTGCATTCCAAAAAAAGACTCAAACAGAAATCAGGCTAGAATCATTGTATAGTTGGACGGCCTTATACATTTCTAATATATAATGTTGTCAGAAGAATTGAAATCTGCCATAGAGGAAATATTCCTCTGCTTTGATATTAAATGTAGTATCATTGGATGGTAAACACTTCCAAAATGTTTCTCGGGAAATTTTCAGCCCATGCTGTTTAAAATCCTATTTTGCAGTAAATGTCTTCTACTGTGGCAAAGGTTGTGGTTTTAAAGAGGCAATATTATATATGACCTTGGGAGTCATATATAATACTGGCCACCATATTCTGTCTAGAAAACCTCTAAGAACGTATTTCTTTAGTCAGGTCTTTAAAGGTAAAATATTCATATTATTTGTATTGCATTTACTTGCTTTTATCTTTTGTATTTTTCTGTGCATGTGTGCTGTCTGAAACTGCAAAATGTCTTCAGTATTCAATTTGAGCAGAAAAATGGCAAATACATCAAATGAAAAAAATAAATAAACCTGCCCCACCCCACAATTTACACGTTTTGGGAAGACAAAGGTTAAGTTGTTTCACTTGTTGCAGGGAACCAGCTTGTTGGGCATTAGAAGGCCCTCCTCTTTTATATATAAAATAATGCAGAAAAGGAAAGATCACCTAGCATAGACTGGAGTTGACTGTAGGGGTGATTAAATGATTTTACCTATATTGATATTGATTACGGTTTTAATTGCATTTTCTTTCTTTGTTGGTATTTTATTGTTTGATGATCGGAAGAATAATCAATGAAGTGTTTTACATTTACACTACTTTATAGGGTTATCAATTAAAATATAAATAGGCACAACTCTGTTAGATATGTAAAGAACACTCTGCACAAAGTCTTGCTGCTGGGCATCACCACTATTATTGTCACTTGAGTAGCTGAGTTATACAACTTCACGCTTCCCTTAATGTTCACGGACAGCACTTCTTGGTATTTGAAAAACTGTTTGCAACATTCAATAAACAAAGCAGCATACTTTTTCACATCTGACAATCTGAAATCTCAGTAGCATAGTGACACTATTTATAATTAATATGCTCCGCACACACTTTTGCACAATTGAAATTAGTTTCTCTTTCTTGCTGCACACACTCGCAAGATGCACAGCGGCCTCTTGACCATAAATAAAATACTGACAATGTAAAGGCCAGAGAAGAACATGTAGTAGAAAGTTCATTAATGATGTTGTAAATTTGACACTATTGCTAAATTCCAAGTTTAATAGTAAATTCAGCAAGCAAGCAGATGTCTTTTTGTTCAAGTGTGTTTTTATATCTGAACTTTCAAAATAAAATTCCATTATGTCATATATAAACATAAGATAACATAAGCAAATGCTTAGACCTATCTGAAATGTTGAATCCATATGGCTTTGGAACTGTAACAAGGAAACATCTGCAAAGGCAGAGAATAGGTTAGGATTATCAATTTTAACTGCCCTCAACAAATTCAGGGGGAGAGTTCTTTTTCTGCATTCAGTTCCTTTCATCTAAAAAAAATAAGTTCTGTTTGGCTTTCAATAACTTTTGCTCATTTTGTTTGGGCTCATTTCACACCATCTTCTAAAATGTGTTGTTTATTTTCTTAAGTAATCATTCCCATAATAAAAGTAATATTTCAAAATGATATTGCCTAGGGTGACAAAGAAAAACGACCTAATCAAAGAACAATAGTTTACACCAAAGATTCCTTCATTAAGTCCCAACTTAGATTCCAAACCAAACTTAAAAATGACTACTAATTGGTAGATATAATAAATTAACTTCCAATCAAGTTAAAGGTTACATACCAAAACGTCATGTTGGCTCCAGGTATATGGGTTACGTAAACCTATTTTAATAGCCTTAGCTTCATTCCTAATGAATAATGAAGGGCAAGATACATTAATACATTTTTGTTCAATAAGGTTTAATTTCTGGAACCTCAAAAGCTAAGTTGTTTGCAGCAGACATCCAACTTTTCCCATCCTTGCACCCTCCAGATAAATTCCCAGGCAACATGGCTGCTGATTGTGCTAAACTGGAAACATGGGGGTGTTCTCTGGAGAGTGACAGATTAGTAGAAACTACTTTATAATCTTTAGCTTTAAGAGTTGATATACTCTAATCAACAGTTTTCTGAATTGGGTTTTTAGTGTAATTCATTATTTCTTTGGGCCACAACTTTATGCCTACTGATTGAAATGGGAGATGGTGTCATTGGGCAGAGCTCTTCTGTTCTATGCTACAATCCTATGAAGATTTGCCTAGCAGTAAGTCTCATTGTGCTGCTTTTCCAAATTGATTGGATCCAGGCTACAAAAGCCTTAACTGGCAGTGAAGGAGACTTGCAGATATGGCTGGTGCACTATCCACACTATCACCCCAGTCTCCCTGACCAAACTAGCTGAGATGATCTCTAATTTGTTGTGGGAGAACTCTAAGACTGTAGAATTGAAGCTGCCTGAACAGAAACAGCCTAGGATTTCATGATCTCTATGAAAACCAAAGATCTCCCCCAAATTGTCATCAAGCTAACACATAGGGCAGAACACATACAATTAAATTTTTTGCCTCAGACTATGAGGGGAATAGCCTGGACAATGGGGTAGAATTATAGTTTGGGGAGGGTTCTTTGTGTTTTTTGACCCTGAGAATGGGTGTTTTTTCATTATTAAGTACAAAGTAATGTTTATTTACTGTCATCTTTAAACCTATATCTATCTTCTTTTAAACCTCTATCTAAAATGCTATATATTTAATCTTACAACCTAGTCCTATAACTATATACCTATTAGCTACTGTATATTTATCAACCATACCCATGCTTCGTGAACCATGAACTGTATTTTAAGTTCCTTCCCCTTCCCTTTTTTCTGCAGAATCTTTTCTCAGTTCCTTACTGACCCATCCCTGACTTTAGGAGTGGGAAGGAACTGAATCTATTCCCTTCCTGTCCCAGTCCCAGCCTCTTTCTGCCAACTTTTCTCTGACTGCTTCTGTTGCCTATTGGTACCACTAGGCTAGTATGGCTGGGCTTTTCTGGCCTTTGCCGAGTGTTTATTGCCACTTTGTGTCTATCCATTGTTGGGGAGTTTCTGATGCTGGGCTGGCGCTGCTGGACTGGTTCTATCCCTTTCACTGATGGGCTTATGTGGCTGTCCCTGGTACTGCCACCTATGCTGCTGGGTTGGCTTTGTCAGCTTGGCAGGGTTGGTTTTGTGGCAGTGGCTGCTACTTGTCAGATGAGTGACAAGTATGAGTGTTGCTGATATACCATCCCAAGTTCTTTTGCCCATTCTCTATCCAGCCACCTCTTTTCCCTGACTTTTATCTCCATTCTTGCCTCCACCACTGTTCTTCTGTAGTCTATCCATACTGTTGCTGATACTCTCCTGTCCACTCCTCTTCCCCTCTCTCTAGCCTACCACCACCACTCTCCAGAATCTTCTTTGGTGATGTGTCATGTTGTCACCAAGCCCCCAGAGTCTCACCTATGCTCCAGAATGTCCTCTCCGCTGAAATGTGTGGGGGGGTGGGGGGTGGCTATGATTATATCTTCTTTCCAACACGTCCTTCCTTGTATAAATGTTGGATGAGCTTTGTTTTGGTTTTTCACTTTCCCTTTTTAATGAATATTTTAAAATATTGTTCTTATTATTGTACTTAATTTATATTTATTGCAAAACTTTTCAAGATGTGCTTGTATAGGAACTTGTATTCAATTATATTAAATAAATACAGTAACATTCAAATTAAAAAAAAAAACTAAGAAAGAGGGGGTTTGGTGTTGCAAAACATTCAGAGAGACTAGAAGAAATTTCACAGAGTTTACATTATAGATACAAAGCAGCAGAAGGCTGCAGTGATACTTTCTAAATAAAACTTCAAATAAGCAGAAGCAACAAGCTGGCTATTCACAGTCAGAAAAAAGGGATAGCAGCAAACTGCTGTAGCTTATTGGGGCTCCATCAGCACCAAAATGTTCTTTATTAGTTAAAAAAAAAAAACTAACAATTTGTTAATGACTTTCTACACCTTATAAGTGTATGAAAATTGATTCACAACTAAAAACCATAATATCTTTTGAAGATTCACACTCCCTGCACCATTAAGTAACATCAAATACTTCTACTCAGCTTTATTTTGAAGACAGTCTTCTGTATAACTTGATGTAGAACTATACTATGTGTGCAGATGATCTAGAGCAAATAACTCTCTTCTGATTGAATCCAATTACAGTATTAAGCATGATGTGTTGAAAAAACACATACAATATTATTTCTTCGACTGTAAGTCATTTTAGAAATTCAAGGAATTCAGAGTAATTTTTAAAGTAAGATAAAAAACAGAATACATAGGAAAGAAGAATACATATGGAAAGGAGAAAGAAGAGTAGCTATGTAGAAATATACCATGTTTCATGAAAGAACATCTCTAAATGCCAGAAAGTTGGGATAAACAGCAAAAGACCATTTTTCTGATGCTCTAGCTTGAAATCTTTCCAAAAGTATCTGGCTGCTCCCAATTGGAATCAAATTCTGGAAGGATGTAACGGAATTCTTATGTCCCTACATTATAAAGCTGAATCTTGTCTAGGGTTATGAAATATGGACTCTGCTGGAAGCATCTGTAAGGAGTGGAGAGGACAATATTTCTATCACTACAAGATCAACAAAGCTAGCAAGATAAAGGAATAACATGTCTAAGCTAGCTTACGTACTCTTGTCAAGATTTCTATCACTACAAGATCAACAAAGCTAGCAAGATAAAGGAATAACATGTCTAAGCTAGCTTACGTACTCTTGTCAAGATTTCTATCACTACAAGATCAACAAAGCTAGCAAGATAAAGGAATAACATGTCTAAGCTAGCTTACGTACTCTTGTCAAGATTCTTTGATTCTGAACAGAAATTTCCTCACT